TCCCACCCTTTCCCAAAGGGACATACAAACTTTTGCCAAAGTAACCACTTACTTATTAGGAGAAAATGCTCAGAAATGTGGGGACTACATAACAGTGCTTTTGAACTACCTGATTCCAGAAGACCCAAATCACCATTATGGCCCTCTAGTAAAAGTAGGGACATATGGAGGTCAGATGATCAATGGAGTTTTAGTCAGGTAGGTCCAGTAGATTCTGAACTTATCCCACGATCATTTCCCCAGTTCCTGGCCACATAGGATAGATATACCTAGTACTTGGCTGAATCTCAACTTTTCTTTACTAACTGTAAAGTGAGGGCTGTTATGCAAGCCATAGGAATTATCTCTAACTGTGAAAATAGCAAATCACAAAGAAGGAAATTCGGAGAGCAATACCACCACCAGAAACTTAAAAGATGTAATAGTTGTTCCCACGACATCCCCAATTTAACACTCACATTTAGCCTGGGCAGAAAGTGGATTGATCTTGGAGAATTATTGGTGGTTACTTTAAGATTAATCCAGTGATGACTCTAACTGCAGCTACTATATTGGATGTTGTTGCTTTTCTTGAGAAGATTAACACACGTCTTGCTAACAGCTATTCAGCTATTAATTTGGTAAATACCTTTTTCTCCACACCTATAGATAAGGTTCGCTAAAAGCAATTTACTTTCAGCTGGCAGACCAACAAAACACCTTTACTGCTCTATCTCAGGGTATATCAACTCTGACTCATCTGTGTTTCAAGTTAGTTTCTAGCAATTTGGATTTGATACCTCTCTTTCATGAGGTATTCCACTGGTTCATGACATTGATAACATTAAGCTGATTGGGCCGAGTGAGCAAAACATAGCAACCGCACTGTACTTATGGGTGAAGCATTTGTGTGTCAGAGGGAGAGAAATAAATCCAACTAAAGTACAAGGACCTTTTACCTCAGTGAAATTTCTAGGAGTCCTCTGGTCTGGAGCATACAGAGATATTGCTTCTTTTTTTATTTTTAAAGATAAAGAACAAAAACACATTAACAAAGAGACATAAACAAAACAACACCCAAACAATAGAAGCAATACAGAGTTTCAGACAAGGTGGTAGGAAATTAACAATAGTTATTGTGGTACGTATTGTTATCTTCAAATTGGTTGCCCAGTTAAGTAAACATAGCATGTAAGATTGATCAAACAATTAAACATTAACTGTTCCTTTCAATAAAGCAATAGAAGTTGGTAGTATGACTCTGTTATCCTGTGTATATATATTTTTTCCCTTCTTTCTTTTGCTCTTTTCCTTCATTCCGATTGTTCCCTCCCTTTGAGCAGTTTCTTTCCCTTTCACAGTATCTATTATACCTTTCAGAAAAGAGATATCGCTTCTAAAGAGAAGAATAAGATGCTGCATCTGGGTCCTTCTACAATCAAGAAATAGTCACAATGCCAATGCATTTATCTGCATGATCAGGACACTACACTTCTCACCTGGGTGTGTTCCTTGACACATTTACCAAGGGACCCAAACACTGCTATTTCTTTATTAGAACATGTTTGCAGCTCATATTCCAGCTTGTTTCTTCTATTCTCCCCTTCCTTTCCTTGCCCGTCCCAGCCCCTCCACCGTTCCCCTACCCTCTTTTTCTTACTTGTTGATATTATTTGTCTTAGCTTGTGTTATGGCATATAAAGTTTACATTAATCGAGGTTACCAGGTTTGTGCACGTGGAGTATCTTTATGCTTCTTAATTTCCCTTCCCCTCCTCCTCATTCCTCATCCTAATTCCTTGGACTGCTTCTCTACTGCAAGGGTTCCCTCCCTTCTCCCTTTGGCTCACCAGTATTCCGCTCTCCCTTTACATCAGTTCTATATCACTTTCTCTTTCTTTGCTATACTTGACTCAGATGAGTGAGGCATAATAATTACCATATACTATGGTATTTAAGCTTGTGTTATATCTTCCAGGTACATCCACTTTTTTACCATTCTTTATAGCTGAGTAGTATTCCATTATATATACAGTGATATCACATTTTGTGTATCTGAGCATCTTTTGATGAGTACACAGGCTGCTTCAATGATTTAGCTATTAAATATTTTGCTGCTATAAACATTGGTATGCATATATCGCTTCATTATGATGACTTAAGCTCTTTGGGGAGGATATCTAGCAGAGGAATTGCTGGGTCATGTGAAATGTCTAATTTCAGTTCTTTGAGAAATCTCCATACTGATTTCCGTAATGGCTGTACTAGCTTGCATTCCCAATAAAAATGAAGGAGGGTTCTTTCCCTCCCCAGCCAGACCAATATTTGTTATTATTTGATTTCCAAATGACTTCCATTCTCTCCAAGGTGAACTGCAGTCTTAGAATTGTTTTAATTTGCATTTCTCCATTGGCCAGAGAAATGTTGAAACTTCTTTCATGTTTCTGTTGACCTTTTGTATCTCTTTCTCTGTGAAGTGTCTGTTTATTACTCTTTCCCATTTCTTCACTGGGTCTTTCATTTTAGGTTTAAGTTTTTGAGTTCTTTGCATTTTCTATAAATAAGTCCTCTGAGGAATAGCTAACAAAAACTTTTTCCCATTCTGTACGTTGTCTCTTCATTCTACTGATTGATTCTTTTGCTTTACGGAAGTGTTTAAGCCTGACATAACCCCTATTTGTTGATCTCACTATTTCTTGTGTGCTTGAAGTTCTCTTTAGAAAATCCTTTCCTACACTTTTGTCTTCAGGTATTTTACCTATTTTATCTTCCAGAAGGTTTAATGTCTCTGTTTTAATGTTTAGATCTTTGACTCATTTTTATTTTACTTTAGTCTATGGTGAGACATAAGGGTCTAGTTTCATGCTTCTGCAAACAGACAACCAGTTTTCCCAACACCACTTGTTGAATAGGCTGTCTTTCCTCTAACACATGCTTTTAGCCCTTTTGTCAGTGATCACATAACTGAATATGTCCGGTGAAGTCACTCTATCCTCAATTCTGTTTCATTAATCTATGTGTTTTTTTTGTTCCAGTACAATGCCATTTGCCACTATTGAAAAGCTACCACTTTTAAGGTGTTGTGCAGGTTGTTCTGCCTCTTGGACCATGTGATCAAGCAGGTCCAGTGGTAGCTGTAGTGTCAGTGATACATAGAGATGTTTTACGGAACCTCCAGAAGGACTCCACAGGTGAATCACAGCAAAGCCTTTAGAATTTGGGGGGAAGGCTCTACCGTAATTTACAAAGAATTACTCTTGTGACCTGCTACTTGGCCTTATTGGAAATGGAATGCTTGACCAGGGGGTGCCATGTTTCCATACAACATGAGCAAAGCATCATGCTCTAGGTGCTGTAGGATGCATCAAGTCACAAAGTTGGATATGCAATGCAGCAACCCATCATCACATAGAAGTGGAATATATGAGGTCCATGCAGGTCCTGAGGGTACAAGTAAGTTAAATGGATAAACAGCCCAAAAGCCCATGATTCCTGCTTCTGTTACACTGCCTTCTGTCCCTTACCATGTCTCTATCACTTGTGGAGTGTACTCTATGATCACTCGACAGAGGAAGAGAAAACTAAACCCTAGTTTATAGATGATTTTGCACATTATGCAGGAATCACCTGAAAGTAGATAGAGCCCTTTTCCAGGACATCCCTAAAGGACAGTGACAGAGGAACATCTTCACAGTGGGCAGAGCTTTGGGCAGTACATCTTGCTAACCTTTTTCCAAAGAAGAAAAATGACCAGACATATGGCTATATATGTATCAACTAATTAATAAGATGTGGCAAATGATCTGACTGGAAGTCATAAAGTTGGAAGAAACCTGACTGCAAAATTGGTAACAAAGACATATGATGAAGAGATATGTGTATGGACTTCATACAGGCAGCAGATGTAAAGATATTTGTGTCCTACATAAAGGCTCGCCAAAAATGTTGCCTCTGCACAGGAAGACTTAGTCACCACGTGGGTAGGATGACTCATTCCGTGGATAGCAGTCAACCTCTCCCTCAGCCACCCGTGTCATTGCGCAATGTGTTTATGAACAAAGCAGCCACGGCGGCAGAAACGGAGGTTATATACGGGCTCTGCAGCTTTGACATCCACTCACTGGGGCTGACACACCTAAAGCCCATGGTGAATGCCAATCTGGTAACAGCAGGGGCAAGTACTGCGTCCCTGGTACACTACCATTATCCAGTGTCATCATCTAGCGACCTGCCGGAAGATGGGTTATACTGGACCAGTTCTATGATGAAAAGGACAGCGCTTTGTCCTCCCTGAGATAGACACTTGGACTAGGTACAGGTATAGCTTCTGATAAGGATGTAGAGGGCAGGGCAGGAATATTGTTATCCATAGGCTAATCAAGGAAGCACACATGCGAAAGAGTCATGGCCCACCGTTAATTTTCTCTTTCCCAACTTTATTTTTCTTCAGCTCACTAATGGCCTCAAATTATAGAACTTATTTTTAAATTAATTATTGTCTCTCCCATAATTATGTAGGTTTGGTAAGGACAGGAAATTTTGCTTGAATATACTCCCAGCTTCTTACACACCTCTTAGCATTTGGAAACTATTTTGTTTTTGGTTTTGGCTTTGGTTTTTTTTTTTGCGGTACTGGGGATTGCACTCATGACCTTGTGCTTGCCAAGCAGGCGCTTATGCCACTGAGCTATATCCCCAGCCCTGGAAACTATCTTGAAAACATCTGTTGGATGAATGTTTCCATTGGTGCAGATAGATAAATAAGCAGAGTTTGAAGATAATTTTCCTTGTTGTAGGTTCTAGCATTGAAATATTTTCATATTTCTGTTATAATCTATTAGGGTTTCAGAAAATGCAGTAAAGTATAACATATAAATCAAAATTTTCAATTGTACTTATCTATCTAAGAATTTTCAGCACATTTATTTTGTTCAAGTTCACAGATTGCTAAAATTTCTATCATCCCATAAAAAATCCATTGAAAAATACAATTGTAATGAAATAGCCATAACGTCACAGTGATGGTTTTTAAATGTCTTGTTTATTTCAAGGACCAGAGGCAGATGGTGCAAATAAGGTGGTCTTAGACTTGAACCAAACATTCCTCTTCTGAGAACTCACTTAGGCTGGGTCTTGATGGTATTCTCTGTGTATAGAGATGAGGGCAGTGTATATTTCTTCTCTCTCATAAGCTGAAGAACATTTCAATTTATCAATTTTCAAAAGTCCAGACTTAATCTAACTCATACTAGTAATTCCATAGAATCACTGCTCAGTCCTCCATACAAGCAACCCAGATGCAAGTAACTGCACCTGACTGCTCACTCACGGCTTTGAAACTCAGATTTGCCAAAGATGTAGAATCTTGCTGAATGAGAAAAGAGCTCTGAGATATTGGACACCCCTGGTACAGAGCACGTGCTCCCCTCAAGGGCCACGATGTATGAACATTTTAATATCCCACAAGTGAGCTAATATTTCTTGCATTGCTCAAGACAGTCACTCATATCAGTTTCTTTCAAATCTTACATAAATCGTGTCTAGTTCTTGGCCTTGAAGCATCTGCTGATCTCTTTTTCAGTGTCACTGCAATGTGTACCAGACGGGGCAGCTTCTGGAACAGTCTATGTTTTGGAGTGCCAGGGAGCCTTCAGTTAATTGTTCACGTCGCATCTTCAACTGACCAGAAGATTGCCCCCTTCTCTCCACATATGGGTCATCCCTCAGGATTTCTTTAAACTCTTTCTCTCTCAGGTCAAGACTGGCTTTTCTAAGCTGGTCCTACATTAGCTGTGTACGTGCCTCCTTTTTGAAATTCTGACTGTAGGACAGGCAGAAAGTCCCGCCTGATTCACACTGCTTACTTTAGGGAAAAGACGTAGTGATTCCTAGAGAACTGAAGGTTGGGTAATTGTGGAGAGAATTAAAACAAAATTCCCTGGCTCTCCACAGCAAGCTACTCAGCCCACACACTGCTTGAAGGTTCTGATTTTCAGGCAGATGTGATTTGGAAGGCTTTTGCTTGCTTTTCTCCTGTACCTACTTTAACAGAAGCTAAGCCATGGTGTCTGTTCTGTGATGGTGCCTTGTACTCTTGCCATTAATACTGCAACACTTCTGGTGTTGACTTTGCGACCACATGTCCTAGGGACCATCACTTTCCTCCTCTCCAAAAGATCCCACGCTTACAGAGGTCTTCTGGTATACCTTTCTCAGGGAAGACCCAGATGCTCCAAAAAGAGAGAGCGATGTCCCACAGAAAGAAATTTCTGTGTTGTGCATCTTCTTCATCACTCAAGGGTGAGGCATAGCTTACTAGTGAAAATGGAAATTCGAGGTACATGCACAAAGGTATACTTTCTAATTTGTTTTTCATTAAATTAGCAAGAAAAACAAGATAATCAGTCACAAATGGTTGCTACCATTTGCCCAGAAACATTCATCATATCTATAAGCAAATAATCTACAAATAAGTAATTTTCACAATATTGGTATCAAACTATAGATGATATTAGAAAAGTCACTCTAGCTCCTGAATACTATGATATACAGCATGAACTCATCTCCCAGTGTATTTTTTCAAAGTTAAAAGGATAATATTTAAATTCAAATGCTTTAGCAAAATTGAAAATATATATGGTACAGAATCACTGTTAGACAGCTATTCTGCACACAAAGTGTTAAAAAACAAACTTATGAAAAAATAATGCAAAAAGAAAAGCTTTGTCTAAATAGATGGAACCCGCATCCAAATCATATCTCTTCTTCTAATTCTTGTTCATATTCGTTACTTTGCAGGAGTCCAACTTCTGATGAGCACAGCCTCCTCATTCTGAGTTTCATCAACCTGAGGAAAAATGAAATTGTTTCTCTTTGGATGGTATCTAACACAAAAGCTTTGCATAAGATGACTCTATAAGGCAAAACCTGCATATTATTCGTGTAAATAGGGGAAGCAACATAAAGAAAAGTCATTTCCATTTATCTTTGTAAATATCTGAAAATTTTTGTACATTAGAGCATGGCAGAAGTAAACAAATAAAATATGGCTTTCAGTTGTGTGATTCCGTGTCAGAGAGAACTTTGGTCATTTCTAAAACAAATAAGAGAATCTCTGTACTGTGGCAAGCATATACAAACCGAGGTCAGTGTAGTATTTCAACCAAAACCACACCTAACTGGATTTTGCTTGAAGATCTCTCCTGTGAAGAGCAGGAAGCCATCTCCTTCCCTAGGGCTGGTTGGTCATGAAAAGTCTGATGTGGGCCTAATTTCAGCCCTGACACATCCCTTCAGAAATATCCTATTATGCAGGGCACAGCTGTTCAACTGTACATGATGTCTCTGTCCATAATGAATTAAGAAGTATGGAAAAGTACCCTATACACTGTGGGCTGTCTTCACCATTTAAGAGAAACTAAACTGTACGTCTTTTGGAAAAGCCATTATAATTTTAGACACTGGAATGTTGGAAATTTCTTGGTGACAAAAGCTCAGCAGGCTCTCAACTTCTCTGATGTGGAAAAACCAGTGTTAATATGAACTATGTATCACTTATCCTCTGTATAACTATCACAAACACATTGTACTGTAACTATATTGATAAAACATAACTGAATATGCAAATTTGATAAATAAAATCTTTAGATAATTTTAATAAAAAACCTCATCAATGTACCCACATTTTTATCTTATTTTCTGCCTTCCTTCTTCTGATAAAGTTCTACTCTGCCTTTATCTAGAAATGTGACTTCACTGAAAGGTAATTCTTCATGAAATTTTTAAAGCAATTGCTTACATTTATATCAGTAAGGTACAGAAAGATTGTATTTTTGGGCTTATCTTTACAAGATTAATATGCAAATGAAATTGTAAAGCATACAAACCATGATTTTTAAACAAAAGTATATATTAAAATGGCTATGAAATATAGACCTATTAAAACAAATAGCAAATATTTATTGAGCACTTACTGTATGCTTAGCAGTACGCTAACAGATGTAGGATGAACAAAATGGTCTTTTATACAAGTATACACAGTCGAGCTAGCAGACAAGACTAACATACATGCACTAATAATCAAAAAATCACATAACATCACCAAAGTCAAAATATCTTGTGTATCTTATGTGCTATTAAAACTTGGGGAGGGGAACTGAGCACAGACTAGTGCAATCATAGAAGCCTTCCTCGAGGAGACATGCATTTATGTGCATAGGCCAAGGAAAAGGAACAGACTGACCAAAAAAGATTAGAATGACACCTAGTAGGGACAGGGAAAGCCTAAAGACTAAATTGGAGTTTCTGGTTTTTGGGAAATTGTCAATGATAAGAATTTGGTTAGGTAATCTGAGGGTTTTTGTAACAGGAATAGATAATCGTTGTCTTTTGCTTTGAGAGGGGAGCGGACATGGAGCAGAGTGCTTCCTTGAATTCTGGAACTATTCCTGGGCACTGCCTGAACACTAAGGAGATGACGCCCAGATGTCAGCCTAGGACAACAGGGGAAGATGTCAGGTTTCAACCAGTTGCAGAGGCAGTCTACCAATGAGCTCATGCTTTTGCAGAATGGAATAGGACTAAGCAGAAGTCAAATAATGAGAAGGCACAAATCTCTTAGCATGCAAAGCAATTTAGACTTCTAGAAGGCGGCAGCTACAGATTAAAGTGGGATGATCCCAACCCTAGCAGAGACCTCTGAGAGCAGACGAAGGGATGGTTTCTGAAGACAGAGCTCCAGGGCCAGGGGAGCTTCAGCAATGAGGCACAAAGAGTACAGTGGCGGGGCTGGGGGCCATGTTCACAGAGAGTGGAAGCCAGGCAACAGCAGGGGCTGAAGCCCCTAGACCGAGCAGCAGCTCCTGCACTCTAGAAATCTAGAGAAACTGCTAGATGTATAGTGTCTGACACGGTTTCCACTGTCCACAAATGCATATTTACATGAGCTGCAATGTAATTTTCAATTTTGGGGAGTCTTCCCTGAGCGCCAGTAGCCCTTTATTCTATTTCCATTTTTGTACTGTCTTAATTGTCCATTTCTAGAGTTCCAACCATAGGACGAAAAATTCCTCATGGGTAAGATCTACACATCATTTTTATCCCAAAGAAAAGGTAGAGTGAAGAGCGGGAGGAGAAAAGAACAGAAGACAATAATATTTATTGAGCTCTTACTATGTCTGAAGCAGTTAAACACATGAACTCATTTAAGCACTACTACTATCCCTATTTTTCAAACAATGAAGCTTGATGTGGTGAAGTATTTGTCCTGAAGTCATGCATCTGAGAGCAGCAGACCTGGACATATATGTTCTTATCATGCTGCTATATTGCTCCTTACCATCTCATGGGATGTTGGGTCAGCATGTTTGTAAAAAAATTGTTCAGTGTTTAGAAATATTAGACTCAATGTAAAGTTAAGCAGCCACCCAATTTAATAGGACTCATTCAAGTTACTGAAAAAATGTCTCAAAGTTTAAGAAGTGCCGTACTGCACATATGTCTATATGAGTATGAAAGGAGTCACCTCAGCACGGGCAGACCGTCCGGGAGAGGAATCAGTTTATGCAAAGATGTGGAGGCTAGAATGACTGTGCTGAAGGCAGAAACATGACTCAGAGGCACAGCAGAGACATCATTCAGCTATTCCCAGTTCAAACCAGCATGTATTCCTTTTATTGGCAATTTCGTATTTGCACATACAGCGGACCCTCAACTTATGGCCAGCCGCACTCATGGAGAACTCGGGTTACAACCAGAATTTTAGGTTTAACTTATGACCAAAGTCTTGGTTGTAACCCAAATGCCAACCACTTTGCAGCTGTAAGCAAAGACTTTGGATGCCAGAAAAGTGTACGTAAGCATGTGTAGTCTGAGCCCAGATTCCAGATGTTCTTATAGAAGGGGACTCTCCTTCCAAACAATAACCACCTTCTATTTCATCCTCCATTCCTGAGTCAAAAATATCAGCTTGAATGGTGAGTACAGTATGAAGTTGTTTCTGGTAAACTAAGACATTCTGTGACTGTTTGGTGAATACGCTAGGAAAGTTATTGGTGTTTCTGGTAAATTAAACACATTATACAACCCTTTTTACCGTGAAAAGGTTAGTTAACAAGTGCTTTGGGAGGTTCAGAGTACATTATGGGTATTTCCATTATTTCTTATGGGAAAAATAGTCTTCACTTCCAGCAATTTTCATGGCAACCAGCCCGTATGAATGAGTTGAGTTTGTAAGTTAAGGGTCCACTTAACTTTCCGCTATACTGTCCTGTCTTAATGGAATTCTTTACATTTTAAGTTCAATCTTTCTGGGTCATGTTGATCACATGCTGAGTAACAGAACTTCCATGAACATGTATCCTTAACTTACCAGGCAACAAATGCATAATTCACTCCAATGATGATATAGGCCAATACACAATACCAACAAAAACACATGGAGAGAAACATTTTAGTGTCATGATCCATCAGATCCCATGTAGTCTTTCCCTCTGGGGGAAACAGGACGTAAGCAATCTGTAATTCGAAAAAAGAAAGTACTTAAGTAATCAATAACATTTCCAAAGACGTTATATTTTACAATGGCGGGTCACAAAGATAGCTCTAATTATGTTAAATGTCATAAACAAGACATTAGATTTTACTCCCTGTTTTAGCAATAGACAGTATTTACCTACTCATACTATTTAAAAACTTTTAAAAACATTAATGATCAATTTTCAATATTTGAGTTCTGATCATCTCTGAGCATAGGTGAACTTTCAGAATGTCTTATGTTTTTACATTGTGCTGTTTTACTCTATTTCAGAGAGTACAAATCATCTGTAAAATGCATTCCCTCAGGTAACATTACATTCAGGACAGAGGTGGTGGTGAACAGCTGCTGTGTAAGCTACTTTGGAGGCTGAGACAGGAGGGTCTCATGAGCCTGGAGAGCCCGGCCTGTGCAACATAAAAGAGCCTGTGTCAAAAAAAGTTTTACTTTTAAAAACCAAGGATATATTCAATGGGGAAATCTGACAGCTTTCTTCCTAGGATCAGATACGACACAAAAACTTTGATTTCCCTAATTCTATTCAACATTGTACTGGAAATTCCAGCTTGAGCAACTTCAGGCAAGAAAAATGAACAACGGATGCTCATATTGACCAGAAAGAGATAAACCTATCGATATGTATAAATGACATGATCTTTTATACAGAAATTCCTAAGGAATCCACCCAAGAAACTATTAAAGCTAATTAATGAGATTACATTTTATAAATACAAAATGAATACACAAGAATGAGTTTTATTTTTATACACTAACAGCAACCCAAAAATAACACTGAGAAAAACAGTTTCACTTACACTAGCATTAGATGACAGAAAAAAATGAAATACTTACGACTGAAATTAATCAAGAAAGTTAAAGGCTGGGGCTGTAGTTCAGTGACAGAGCACTTGGTTAGCAAAGGCAAGTCTCTGGAATCAATTCCAAGCCCAAAAAGAGCAGTTCAAGATTTTTACTCCAAAGGCTTCACAACATTGTTGGAAGAAATCAAAAAAGAGCTAAAGACATGGAATCTATCCCATACATGGACTACACAGCTCATCCAAAGCAATCTATACATTTGTTGTGATTCAACTCAAAATCCTAATGGCCATTTTTGAAGAAATAAAAAAAAGTTTGTGATGGTGCATACTTGTAATCCCAGCACTCTCGGAGGCTAAGGCAGGAGGATTGTAAATTGGAGCCCAGCCAAGGCCATTTAAAGACATAGCAAGGCACAACTTGAAAATTTAAAATGTTTAAAGTAGAAAAGGGGAAGCTAGATATTAGCTCACAGCCAAGGTTACAATCTCCAGTATCAAAAAACAGCTAATCCAACAATTCATGTGGAATTACAATGAATCCAGAATAACGAAATACCTTGTAGAAAAGATAAATATATTTGTCAAACTCACTTCTTGACCAAAACTGTGGTATTAGCATAACCTAGACATGCAGATCAACTAACAGAATTTGAAATCCAGAAATAAAGCCATATATGTATAATTATTCAATTGTAGTGTGCTATGCAAGTGATGCTGGGGCAATGGGTACCCATACGGAAAACAGTGGTTTTGGACCCTGTTACGTTTTAAGTGTGGAACGTCCCCAAAGGCCTCTGTGTGCACAGGTGGAGGTTTCCGAAGGTGATTGGATCACTTGTTGCCTGACTTATCCATGGAGACCAGACTTCTGAGTTCAGAGCTAAGTGTACTTAGAAGGTGGAGCTTGGTTGAAGGTAGGTCCCTGAAGGTGTGCCCTGGAACAGTACATCTCTGTCCCCAGCTCCTCCTTCCTCTCACTGCTTTCTGTCTCACATTGTAGCAGAAAACGATGACCACCCCCCCCCCATTCAGTACACTTCAGTTTGTAGTTGCCCAGGCAATAGTTCCGGTTACAGTTCCTATACCTTCTGCTTCTTAGAAATGGCTGGTCACTGTGGTGCACAGTTGGTCACTATGATGAATATTATAAGAACCAGTCCCCGATTGATACTCTATTTGGCCTCTGCACTTCCCGCTTGCTTGTCCCATATAAGCCCTAGACCACCAGCAATCAGGGCCTAATATTTTGGGAACCATCCTGATCAGTGCCCGTTGATGTGAATAAATCTGCCTCCACTCCTGGGTGTCCTTTGGTGTTTCTGCTGGCTGTTGTACCATGATGTGAGCAGCTTTGCTCTGCCTAACCCACTGCACCCCGCGGTTTCTGCCTTGGAACCAGCAGACCATGGGTTGAAAACGCGAGCCAAATCCTCCCTTAACTTGTGGATACTCAGTACTGTACTAATACAGAATTAACTTACGATGGATCAGAAAGCTAAGTAAACGATCAAAAACTATAAAATTCATGAGAAAACATAAAGAGAAAGCTTCATGACCAGGGATTTTCTGATGGTTTCTTACCTGTGACACAGAAAGCACAATCAGCCAAAAAAACCAGATAATTTGGATTTTATCAAAATTTAAAACTTTTGTGATTCAAAGGACACTGTCAAGAGAACAACTCACACTAAGAAAAAATATGTTTCCAAATAATGTCTCTGATATATAAAGAATTCCTAAAACTCAACCAAAAAAGATAAATTATGGGCAAAAGCCATGAAACAGCTCTTCCCATAGGAAAGTATAAAGATGGTCAATAACCACATGGGAAGAGAGTGACATCATTAGATATTGGGGAAGTTCAAATCAAAGCACAGTGAGATACCACTCTGTACAACAAGAATGGAAATGATAATAAATAATGGCACGTATCAGTGAGGATATGAAGAAAGTGGAACACTTCACAGTGCTGAAGGAAAGAAAATTGCCTCAGTAGCATAAACATTGGCAATTTCTCAGTTAAAGTGTTACCATAGGAATTGAAAATTCCATTCTTAGCTATGTACACAAAAATATTCAAATGAATACTTGTACACAAATGTTCCTAGCAGGACTATTCATAATAGCCCAAAGATAAAAATAACCCCAATAGCCATCAACTAATGACAAATAAGCAAAATGTGGTATAGCCATACAATGGAATATTAATCAAATATAAAAAGAAATCAAATGTTAATACATACTTTAATGTGGAAGAAATTTGAAGCCTTATACTAATAGAAAGAAGCCAGAAAAAGCAGTCTTTTACGTAGAATATCCAGAATAAATAACTATAGATAGACACCAAAATAAGTAAGTGGTTAACAAAGCCTGGGAGAAGAGGGTAAGGCAGAGTGATCACTTAAAAGGTACACAATTTCCTCTGGAGGAGATGCAAGTGTTTTGAAGTTGACTACAGGTGATGAGCACACTACACTATGGCTGTACTGAATTGTTCACTTTAAAATGGTTGATTCTATGTTACCAAAATTTTATCCCAGTAAAAACTAAATAAATGATGATAACGGAGGTAGATAGAAAGATATAGATGGTAGGTGGTAGATAATTGATTGATTGATAGTTGAAATGGAATAAAATACAATATTAAAATGAAACATAAAACCCAGATGATATCGTGGATAACTGTTCAAATATCTAGCATAGAAATTTCCTTACAATATCCCTTCAGGCATGCACTGTCATGCTCATTTCAAATTATCATTTCATCACTACTCAGATGAGAAAATTAGATTGTTTAGTGACTTGTTCATGATCACACATTTAAATTGACTCAAACAAAAATCAATGTAAGCCAGGTGTGTTGGTGCATGTCTGTAATCATAGCACTCGGGAGGCAGCGACAGGAGGATCATTGCAAGTTCGAGACCAGCCTGGGCTACAAAGTGAGCTCAAGGCCAGCCTGAACTGCACAGTAAGTCCCTGTCTCAAAAAGTCCCACCCCAAAACAAAAACAAAAAAAGGAAAGCAACTTAGAGTATTTTACTGCGTGAAATCTTGATTCCATTTCTTTGTAACATTTCAAGTAATACAAATAAATCAGGGAAAACAGGCTTGTGCCTTAATTGCAAGTTCCCATTTGTGGATTCCTTTTAGTTGCCAAAAGAGCTATTCGCCATCATTTCTCCCTCAATGATACACATAAATTTTGCTATAATCTTTAGTCCTCAAAACAACTCCATGAGGGATACTTCATTATCCCTGTATTAGAGAGGAAAGAGCTGGAACCCAGAGACTTCAGTGATTTTCCTAATATTCAATACAAATGAATGACTAAGGCAAGATCCCAAACAAGGAAAGTCTGACCCCAGCATCTGTGCTCTTTCTTTTACCTACATTCTCACCCCCATACGGCCTTGCCACGTGAAGGCCAGTGGCCTGGATAACAAAGTCAATCTGAGTCATCTCAGCAGTTTTGATATGCTTTGAGCAACCAGAAGTAAGACAAGAACTGGTCCCATGAAGACACACTGCACTACACTCTTTTAAGAGAAAAAGATAAACAATGACACTAAGTTTCAAAACAGGTTACTAGGACAGTTACAATAGTTGATATATTGCATACTGCTGTCTTTATATTACTTAATAAGAGTGCAAGACAAAGGCACGGTATTTTGTCTAAACAGTATTAGCACAAAACATTCTTTTCAAGGAATTAAGACAAGGTAGTGTGTGTTACTCTTAAAACACAGATCAGGTAGTCTGGAGAGTCCTCAGTAAACTAAGATTAGAGGTCCCATTCATCCCAGCTGTTTCCCTTTTGAGTATTTTTCCAGAAGAATTGAAAACATCATACTATAGTGATGTATGTGTACCGATGTTTATAGCAGCACAATTTGTAATAGGTAAATCATGGAAGCAACCCAAGTGCCTATCAACTGAGAGATGGATAAAAAAGACATGGTATTTTTATATAATGGAGTATTACTCAGCTATAAAGAAAGGTAAACTTGGGGGCTGGGGATTTAGCTCAGCGGCAAAGCGCCTGCCTGGCAAGCGCAAGGTCGTGAGTTTGGTTCCCGGTACCGGAGAAAAACCAAAAAAA